GGGCTCGGCCTCCCTCTGCGCCCGATGTTTGCCGCCTCCCTCGCCCCAGCCTGGCTGCGGCTTCCCCGCTGAGCATCCTCCCGGCTCCGTGCCCGCAGAGCCGCTGGCCGGGGTCGGGGGAGCGGGCGTTTCCCCGCGTCAGGCCGACCTGGCTGCCTAGGAACTTACCTTTGGAAGGTAGAGCCCCCCGATGTGAGCATTCACGTTCAGAAAAACTCCCGTCTACCCCACACTCTCTGATTTGTACGTTTTCTGGTCTTTTCTCCCCTGTGTGTTTACAAACGACAGAGGCGCCTTTTCCTGTGCGGACTGCTCCCGCGTGGTCACCGCTCCGCTCCTCAGAAGGCACCTTCAGGTCTTCCTGCACTGCCCCTCCCGACCCCAGGGCACCGTGAGGGTCAAGGTAGGAGCTGGCCCGGGAGCTCGTGTGTGTCCCGCGTCTACCTCATGGAGCTACTGTGACTCACTGGCTGGGACAGAGTTGCATCTGTCGCTCCTTCCCTGGGAAAAAAGCAAAGGGCTCACCCTCAGGAACACAATCTTTCCATGCCCGTGACTTAGAAAGTCACGTTTGACTTCAGGCTTTGAGATCAGAGCTACTAAAGAAAAGACCGGTGGTTCATATTTGATGTGCTGATTTTCAGGACATGCATGTTTTTAGCACCAGCACTTACTACAGTTGTGGGATTCTTAACCCAGCCCATTTTACTGTCCTTGCAGCTGGCACAGAGCAGCATCTCCTCCCTCCTGAGGTTCGCCGCCTGTGAGGATGGGGTAAGTACGGGGACACCCAGCCAGATGTGCTCGCTTATGCTCTGAAGCCCTGAGCCAGCAAGTCAGCCCACATGAAGACCCCTGCCCTGCATACTTTTAGTGAGAACAGTCCGCAGTATAACTGCACACTGCTAAGGCTGGGCTGTACTGAGGCCTGGGTGAGTCTGACAGCTGCTACTCTCGGACAGGTGCCCATGTCTGCTAACAGGGTCTTTTCTTTGTGGACTCGAGGCTGTTTCCTGCTGAGCCTTACAGTGGATGCATGAATTTGTCCTCCTGGCTTTAGATTATGGAAAAACTGTGTTGAGATTTCAAGTTCTACTGCTTTGGTCTCACATTAATAGACCAGAATTAACTGAAAGATATGTGCTTTTTTTAAGTTTGAGTATCCCAGAGCCTCAGTAACTGGTAACACTTCTGACTTACCACAGTGTAACTTAATCAAGTGCACAGAGTAACTTAGCAGAGGGGTGTGCTCCTCCGAGAAACCACCACCTAAATATAACTTAGGGGCCAAAGACAGCTTTCTTCTCCATGAAGCTTGGCCCTCAGAAACAGGAGCAGCCTGTCCCTGAGATGCCACCCCTGTCTTGTCAAAGCCATTTAAAAGCGCCACAAGTGGCCCGTGGAGTTGCTGAACCCCAGAGAAGGGCACTGGGGAATGGCCGCGAGGTGGTGCCACGGCACAGCGCCCCTGGCCACAAAAGGTACCTGTGACTAGTGCCAGGGTCCACATCCAGGTAGCAGACTCGGGCCAGCTCATGAGGTTATGGGGGAAAGGCGACCCTGATCATCCGCAGAACTTTCTGGTGGGTTCTCATGGCCAGATTCCAGCTCTCATTCCTGCCAGAATTTGAGGCTGACCTGATCCACCCGTGGAGGCTGTCCTCCCAGCCCCTTGCCATCCGCTGGCCCGCCCCGTCCTGCACCTCAGGAGGGGCTGGCGGCACCAGGCTGTGGAGCAGCCTTTTACGTTCTTTCACCTAAAGGGCAACCGCTCGATGTGTCTCTCACATTGATGTTTCTCTCTCTCTCTCTTCCTCCCTCTCTCTCTCCCCCTTCCACTCTCTGAAAAGCAATGGGAAAAAAATAGCCTTGGGTGCAGATTAAAAAACAAATTGCTGAGAGAAGCCTCCAGCTGTCCTGCCTCAGTCTTCTCAGCCCCGCACAGTGACCCGTCCTCTGCACCATCCTGCCCTCTCCCTTCAGACTGGAAGCCTTGCCGCTCTCTCCTGCTTCCTGCCATTTCTGCAGGGACAGGGCCTTTGTGGACTCATAACACACCCTCAGTGAATGACCAGGGGACGTCTGTGTCCCATAGATCCTGAGCTGTGGAAGGGCCTCAGCCCCTCAGCCACCACGGTCAGGCTGGAGCCTTTAGTTCCATTTCACCAGCAGCTCTCACTGCCCGTTAGACTGCTCGGCGACCTCACACTAACTTTTCACTAAGTGACAAAAACTCTACACTTAAATGTTCAGTGTCTGTGCCAGGCCTGTGTCACAGCAGGAAGGCAAGAGGATCACCACGAGTGATCCTCCATTAGATCGGTGTCCACATCCCAGACTGATCTTGGTATTACTGCCTCAACACAAACTATCTCAAAGCTCAGTGGCTTCCACAGCGGTCCTGGACACATACCTGCAGTGTGGACAGGGTTCTGCCAGGACAGCCCTGCTCTGCTCCAGTGGGCATCAGCGGGCCCCCGTAGGCTGGGCTGGGGCCAGAGGCCCGTTAGTTCCCAGCTGGCTTTTGTGCTCCTGTTGGCTGGGACCTGCCCGTGCTCTGGGCAGATACCCACAGAGCCTGGATGCCCCACAGCACGTGCCTGGGTTCCAGAGAGGCAGGCAGAAGAAGCCGGCACCTTTCCTGACCGAGCTTGGGACGTAACTCAGGGTCCTGTGCCCTGCACCCTGTGATGAGCAGCCAGCCACTGAGCCCAGCTTAGACCAAGGGAGAGGGCGGCGATGTTCTCCTTCGAGGGGCGGGCACCGAGAGGCCACCACGTGCCTGCTCTGTAACACGCTGATCAAAGCTATGGTCACATTGGTCAAATGGGAGATACCCTGATGCTATGCAGGTGGCAGCAAAGGAGTTTCTGAGAGAACACGCGGCCTTCCAGGGCCTCCGTCTCAAATGAGGCCAGAGATGTCCTTTATTCCCGTGTATTTCAGCCTCTTCATTTTTAGCCCCACCCCCACCCCAGGAGGAACACGCCCTGAGGTTTGACCTAGAGACTGAGGGCACCCACACCTCCCTAGCCTGTGTTTTCATCTGGAGATGAAACTCGCCCAAGGTTAGCCAATCACAAGGTGCTCAACGGAACGTGAATAAGAAGCTTTCTACAGCGTAGAGGCGTTTAACTCGGTCTAGCTCTAGAAGAAGTGGTGTCCCATTAAACAGGGAAGTTTGGGGCGAAGTACCAGAAAATCCTTTGACCAGAAGTGCTGCTAGATTGGGGAAGTGTCCCAAAGGAAGTGAGAGGCAGCTTCGAGCCCGACGCATGCCCGGCCCCTCCCCGCTAACACAGGCACATCCCCTCGGTAAGTCCTGCCCGGCCCCTCCTCTCCGAGGACAGCCAGCAGAGACGCTTGTCACCCTGCGCCCAGCAAGCAGCAGCGGGGTGTTTCCCATGTTCTTGTGTAAAAACAGTTCAGTTATCAGAACACCGGTCCCTTCACTCGCCACAATAATGGGCTTTTTATGGGCCTGTCTCCGTCCTTACCAATGTTCTCAGCCACGGGCATAGTCCTGCTCTTTGGTGTTTGTTGTTGGAAACCGAACGGGCAGGGCTGTTTGCTTTACCCGTGTGCCTCTTGTCACCGCAGAGCTACGAAGCGAGGAGTGTCATCGGCAAGGAGGTGGGGCTGCCGAGCTGTGTTGTCCTGTCCATAGCCACCCACCCAACACGCGGCGCTGGATTGGAGGAGATCGAGCTCCTGCGAGCAGGAAGCGCCTCTTAGGATCCCCAGGCTGCAGGAACCCGGGAAGTTGACCACGTGGCCCCGAGGGTGCTGCTGGGGTTTGGGTTGTTACTTGTTAACTGTGTGCATAGTGAATGTATTTTATGATCTTGAAATGGAACTTAAGATTTTTCTGGGTCACATGTCAGTAAAATGGTTTTGTAAACTATAAGTCAAAATACTGTTTTTCTGTGGTTATATATATTTTTATTACCTCTCTGCAAACTTAGGAACATAACTGTTAATAGTACATAAGCTTGAGTGAGGTCTTCATTTTGATTTATCTGAGGCAATAATATTGATATAGCAGGGAAAAAATGTTCAATTGCAATTTTTAAGTGTTTTAATTTAAATTTACCGTGACTCAGCATGTNAAGTGTTTAAATTTACCGTGACTCAGCATGCCTTTTCTTGCAGTGTCTGTTTCAGTGTCCCTCCAGAGAACGCACTGCGGCGTTTAACCCTTTGTCCTGTTTGCAGTGTTTCTGTTCTGCCGCAATAAATCTTAGCATTTGCACTTCAGGACTTGACTTTGTTCGCTTGTTGTTTGTTTTTTGCACATTGGTATTTTTGGGGAAAGTATTTTGTGGAGCTTTGTCAGACGTGCAAACTTGCCCATGAAGTGTAAGTAAGTAACCAGCTGGCCGCGGGCGGTTCACGTCGCTGCGCTGGCAGCGCTTTAAATGACAGCCGTGAAGTCATCACCTTTGGACGCTGAAGACCCCATGTCCCCCTGGACCCGCGCCGTCGCGGCAGCCCGGATGCTGTTGCATAACCTGGACGCAGAGGCCGCCGCAAGAGGCGCCCGGCCCGCTCCGGGGCACCGGCGATGGACGGCTCCGCGGCTTGTCCCGGTTACGCTCCGGACGCCGGCCCGCCCGGGCTGTCCCCTGGCCGCTCCGT